AAAAACATTGGGACAGAACAGAAGACGTTTTTGTTACAGACATGCCGTTAGAAGAAACTCATCACGACATAACAAATGATAGAAAATACGTAAAAATTATAAAATCATAGAAAAATTCCATAATACAGATGTATCCGTTCAAGCCAATACAGAATATCTTTAACAGAGTCGGAATTTCCTATTGATTACAAAAAAATCCCACCCTCCACCTCTCTCACTTCCCCATTGTCGCCCAAGAAGCCATAATTATAGACAAGAACTGTACCAGTAAAAAAGATCTTTGCTGAATAACAGCGGAAAGCTGATGTTCTGACAAATCAAACAAGGTTTTTGCCTCCCATTTTCAACACTGCCTTTGTGACTGCAGTACTCAGAGACGTTATGAAGCATTTCAAAAGCATATTTCGCAACTATTATTTATTAGAGTAAACATGATGTGGTCAGTTGTGGCGACGACTTATAGAGCCCGATACATGTGTTTCGACCTTGGCAGTCTCATCAGTCGGACGGTACCCTTCGTCTTTTGCCAATCTCGTGGCGCTTAGTCTCTTATACTAAGAGTAGGCGACGACGAACATTTTACACTGTCCACTAAGTGACAATATCACTGAATGGACACTTACTATTAGTATAGCGGAATAAGCTCCTCAAGAAGATTGGCAAAAAACGAAGGGTTCCACCCGAGTGATGAGACTGCCAAAGTCGAAACAGTTGTATTCGCTCTAATAGTCAGCCCATTTAACAGACCACATTGCATGTTGGCTCAAATAACAATTGCGAGATATGTTGATTTGAGCGTGGTCATAAGAAAACAGTCGAAACGAAGCATTTTAGAAAGCTCCGATAAGGTGACAGACGAACTCCAACAAAGATTGATGGAAACTAAGTAGAAAGTGCCAAATATGAGTGACATCTGCAACGAGTCTCTCGGCACCACAACAACACTTACGCTTTACCATTATCAACATGCAGAGACATCGATCACTACTCCACCATGTGTTGCTGATGATTCCCGTAGTTCATCAACAACGACATGTGATTCATAACACGTGGAGTTCGGTTGCCTGATTGCTCATCGTCGACATCAAAGCGCTACGATATCGGCTGAAGAAACCGGCTAGTGTGGGGGTGTACAGCTGTTGTCGTTTTGTCGTAGTTCAAGGAACTCAACACGTGTTCGCTCAGAGTAAACAACTAATTGATGGATGTGTGGCAAATTATCCCGGCATCGACCTGACAGTCACTGACGATGTCGCCACAGAAGATTGAGTTTTATACACGCCTATATTCAAAAAATGCTAGTATTGTTTCGATAACTTGAGCAACCAAGGAGTGTGATATCTGACCATAAGTGTAGCCGTCTCTTTGAAAACTATGGGTACATATTATCCTTCTGCAACGTTATGTGAAACTCAAATCTGCGAAAATCCAAACTTTCAAAACACTGGAAGAATTCAAGAACGGAAGCTGCAACTATCTCAGAAATCTGAGTGATTACCGAGTTTCACTGAGCAATTACTTTCCTTCAATCTGATAGTGATTGGAATAAAGTAGCAGTTTTTGAGTCCTGAAAGATCAGAATTAAGTTTTGATAGAATTTGATTCAGTACCGTGAGAGAGTGCTGAGAAACAAAAACAAGTATCACTTATTGCTGCTGCTGCTCTAAGTTTTGACTACCTTCTTTCACAAACTTAGTACGAGGCGAGCTTCAAATTGGAGAGTCAATTTGTGTGTCTAAGTATGAGTCATATATGATTCATGCACTCCCAAAGTGTGTTAATTTCGGCCGTAACTGACTGTGACATTCGTAGTAGAGAGCCTCCATTTTTTCGATGGAACAATATAGATACACTGTATTTTGGAGCTGTGGCCAAGAAAAGGCCATCACTAACTGAGCAAATTTGTAACCACTGAGAAAGAAAATAGGAGATTGTGTTTCACTTTTCCGGGATGACGCTCTACTGCACCTGGCATTCAATATTGGGCTCCTTCGCTAAGTTAAAAAGTATCTAACGCACAACTATATATCCGACGATACTGATTGGCATGCAAAACTGCCGATCCGAGATGGAAGTTCAACTCTCGTTGTGCCCATACCGAGGAACATGCTACCGTAATCCCACCAAAGCCGAGCCATGCCTCTCTTACCATTCCTCCTTGGAGATAATGCATCGGAGCTGTTAGCAACCAAGTCTTGACGGACTTTCCCTGGTAAGCACATACTGCATTGAATCCAGTTAAAGCCTTCCGACAATTGCAAATGGGGGCGGCGTGGCCGAGTGGTTGTGATGCTTGCCGCGGCGCGCGTGGAGGCGAGTTCCAACCCCCAACCCCCTCCGGCATTCAGCATCGATGCCCTCAGGAATGTCACAGCCAGACTCTCTACCCTCCATATATCAGGGAGATGCGCTCAACCAATACTCAACGAAATCCAAGAAGAAGGCGAAAAAACGAAATGAATTCTAGAAGTACTGGGATTCGCATAGTGGCGGAAAAACTGTGAAAACGGATCAGTAAAGTGCCACAAGTATATATATGTCTATATATATGTACTTATATGTACATATATATGATATATACGTGCATATATATATATATATATATATATATGTATATATGTGATGCTCTGCGTGATTAGATGTGGGGTTGATTCCTCCGAACACTAATACTCTCCGATAATCGATAAGAAGCAACATTTGGAACACCCCAACCTGGCTATCCTTAGGATTGCAGATGCGCTCAACTAGTATTCCACGACGTTCCTAGAGAAAACAAATTTAAACCAAGCGCTGAAAGCGAGTAGACATTTGAATGCTAATATTCCAATCCACAGAATGGGAAAGAGAACGGAGATGGTTCAAATAAAATGATGAAGTGGGGTGGCATATACCTACATCAAATACAATGTGAAGCAATGTGCGAAACTTTCGACTCCACACGAGACTTGAACATGCGTTCTTATCTAACGCATGGGCTATCCCCCTGATGCTCTTCAGCCCTCGTTTTTCCAAGTTCTACAAGGATTCCTTTTCAACAAGCACATTGTCACGTTTTACATACTTAACGTAGGACTCTAGTCATTCGTCAACGCGTAGCCCTGACTAGGTGAAGGATTGCCAGACTGGCAGTGCAAAGATCTACAAAGTGAGTAACTTCTGAGCAAAAAAAATTTGCAGTTAAGAGGCAAAAGGAACTGTGCAAACAACAATTGAATTCGTGTCCATTTAGTTCGTTCCCATCGACGAAAGTAATTTGAAGCCCTGAGAAGAAAATTTCAGGAAAATAACGAGGAAGATTCATAGTACAGAAGTTGCCTCGTCAGTCTATGCACCTTTAAATTCACTGATCTCTTCAGTATATGCGAAATAGTTTACTTTCGTAAATGTGTATGCGGAATTTTCGGAATAGATCATAACAGTAGTTCGTTTCACCACTGAGGAAAGCTCATTCTTTAACGTTTCAGCGAGAGTCATTGAACAGTATGTAAAAAGTGTCATCTATGTTATCGATTTTAGTCTCCGAAATCGGTCATATCCAACATCTTATGCTCCGTTAACCCAACTTTCTCGAAATGTTGAAAAAAAAAAGCTGATGTGAGCTCTCCTAGATCACTTCTTCACTATCTGCTGATGGCTGATTTGAATGAGCTATCAGGCGATTGGTAGCTTCCTTTTTCTATGGAATTGTAGTCTATTTATGTTTTATAATGACACATACATTCGCGTTATTCTTGTTTAAAAGTTATTATGCTTGGATTTGAAAAGGCAAATATTGTCGAAGAATTTGATTATAACTTGGATAATGTCTTGTTAGCGTTAAAATTGCACAGAAAATCTAAACTATGATTAGGTAAAATACTCTTGACAGAAATACCTCTTTCCTCGTAGAAGTGAAAATCATGACAAAAAAGTCTTTTATAGCACTTCTACTGCGAAGGTGGTGCCTATAGAAGTCATAAATTTTTTCTTGGCTAATTTTGGTGCTCCAAATTTTTCTTCTCAAGATCTTGCAATCACTCGATAGTTCAGAGCATGAAGATAGTACGGCGCTTGACCTTTATAAAACAATGTCTTTTCTGTGACTTTTGACTTACCACTGTCCCTTGCTTCAGATGAGACATTTGGTAACGACGCTTGTTGACAATAGTAAAGGATAAAGGTCAATCCCTGAGAGATGCCATGCATTTACCTTCAATTTTTAGCATCGTTTGCAGTGATTAATAGAATATCTGGCCTTTAAATTGACTCGCAGTAGCCTCCCGCTATATAAAGTCAGTGCTGCTTATCCTTCCACAGAGGTCAACGGCCAGTCGGGTACCAACTTACCGATTCCTGAGGGATGGATGGCTTAGTGAGCCATGAGCGCGAGATCGAAGCATCGACCTTAAGTGCGACACAGAGCACCTCTAGACGACCACGCCACATGAGCTCTGTTGCAAATAATATAGGGCAAACTATGCAGAGGACGGATTTTCCTAGAGAAGTTGAAGTTTTTCATCTGTCTCAGTAGGCTATCGATTGATCACAAATTCAAGAAGAGGCTCTGCTGCGCATTGATAGTAGACGCTACGGATACGTTTGACAAGTGCAAGAAATTTTCCTTATCACTTCTATGAATAACGTTTGCGTATCGTTTTGTATAAAGTATCCTGTGTGATACATTCATACTATAGCATACAAATGTAATCAAATACCTAAGAGAACTGAGTGATAGGCAAAAATTCAACCTCAGATGGGAGATGAACCCGCATTTCGCTGATATCGAAGTTAGAGTTCGAATTTTTGCCTACCACTCAGTTCTTTTTGGTATACTTGAAACAACATAACACAGCGAAAAAAACAGTCAAAACGTAGGAATTCTTGGATTTATATAAGTACAATGGCTGTCAGCTTAAAAGCGTCTATAGGACAATATTGCTTACCCGGTTCAAGCCTGTTAGAGGTTGGCGGCTGATAGCTATGATGAAAAGATTCTGAATATGAGTGGTAGGTAAGTGATAGCTTCGGGTGATGTAGTGGTAGCATGTGCCCCTGGTATGAGTGAAACGAGGTTTCAAACCCCGTCTGAGGTCGAGTTTTTGCCTAATACTCAATCCTCATAAGTACACTTGGAATAACATAGCACTGTTAGAATTGAGTAATCACATAGAAATTTCCGGACTTATATCTAATTAAATACGAAAGAAAAAACAATACAACTTCAATAGCCGACTGGCAAATATCATCACCCGCTGCCGCGTCACTACCTATGCAAGCGCGCTCTCCTTTCAGGAGCAACCAAATGTGGATAAAAAGTGACAACTTTTTACTAGATAGGTTTTCCAGCGGTTCCACAGAATTCCAGGGTTTCTCTTAAATTGCGTATGATTCATGGGTACCTCTACACGATCATGCGATTTAGGTACATTCAACTGCTGTATGCTAGAGAAAAAGCCGAGTACACATTTCACAGTTGTCACCGAAAATTTTGATTTTAGGGCAGAACGAAGAAATCCAGAAACTTACGAGCTTGTTTTGAAGTAATTATGCTTGGGATGGAAGAGACGCCCATTTAAAGTAGAAGCTGAAGCTTGTACGTGAAGGGTAATTTTTGCTAACAGTCTACTAAAATTGTCTAATGTTTACCATTTATATATATGTGTTATACATTACATATATATATATATATATTTACATATATATTCTGCACACGAGATGCTATGCGAAATAATATGCAAACGTTCACATGGTTGTGATGAGAAAATTTTGTAGCAGTAAGAAAAAGTTTGACACCTGAACGGGTGTCACCTTTTTTCTTCGTGATTTATTAATACATACACAGAAGTGTTTTCCTCACCTTTTAGTGACAGATCGATAGCTTATGAAATATGGACGTAAGATCTCTAAAGACGCAGCAAAAGCTATCCTATCAGTCCAGCCACCTGATTATTCGCACAAACCTCATTACAAAGGAGAACAAATCAGACTGTGTGGGAGCATTGGCATACTACCGATTACTTGCAAGTACTCCAGAATCGATTATGAGTTTTTTTTTTCAGATGATACTCTATCGTCATTGTGACAAGATCACTTGCTAAAATGAATGCTGTTGCTGTTTCAAAGAGATGGAGAAATGAAAGAGACGAAAGGCGTTTTCATTCCATTGGATGAGTTCCTATGCTAATTTTATGTGAGACCCGCTTAACTGGCAATTACAGAATGAAAACATGTATCCATTATTCAGAGAAGTCATATACAAAAAAATGAAGAAAGAACGAAAGAAAGATTTTGGTAAAATCAAAAGGTAAAGGATAAATCTCTCGCCGTTGATCAGTTCCTGAGCTAAGCGTCATACATTCTGACCCCATACGTGAGGCATAGAGGTGCTAAATGCGTATCGAGCCCAACATGGCTTGACTTGAGGTGGCTCACCTTACATCAAATCGGTGCTGCCCTCTTCCCGATACACCTCATAGTAGTTTGCCGATTTGGGACGGAGACAAAGTTCGGTAAGCTCCAGTGCAAGAAGATCTAACCAATGACCCCTGTGCATCGCGGGATGCCTCTAACCACTGCGCTACACTTATCATTTGATAAGGATTGCTCAAACAGAATACATTCGTTGAGAAAGCATATAACTAAAATCATCATGAGCTAGCGTCACTTCGATTATGATGGAAAACTACCAAGCTGTCAATTCTTCTGAAGACTTCAGTCATTACAAGAGCAACTGAAATGCATATAGATGTATATCATTGGTAATTTGATTGGATGAAGAAACGAAAGGCAGTCCTTTTGTCTTTCTGCGTTTATTATCAAGCTAATTTCTTCTGTTTCTCAGTGTTGACGTAGAAATGACGTCAATCTGTTCCGGATTCGAGTGCGAGCATAAGAATGATTAATGATGGTTATTCATATTTGATAAATCTCGCAGTATGACGTAAATGCTAAGGAATCGTCCTAATTTCGGGAAACCGAAAACGTTTGCCCGGTTGTGGATTATTCTATAACATTATAAGACTGCGAAATATACAGTAGAAACACTAGAAATTATCCGTAATGATCAAGCTAGAAGACTAGTGATTTGTAAATTCACCAAAGAAATAAAGCGAGTAAAACAAATGAGTAAATAAAAGTGCGTACATAAATGGATAAAGTCAACGGGAAATGATACAAAGTACAAATAACAGTGCATAATTGTTCAAGCTCAATCGATATTGCGAATAGATATTGAAAATCATAGAAAAACTCGTAATGTCAAACCAAAATCTGCTTTCAAAAAAATTTGTTTCCCAATTCTTGTAGCTCGGTCCGAATGGAGAGTTTTCGAAAGGCTATTGTCAACATTTTTGAAGGTAAATAAGCCGTAAAAACAACAGAGTGAGGTCACGTGTTAATTAGTGATGCAATGAAATACTACTACCCATTCTTCAATCTTTGAAAGGGTGTCTCGAGATGGCAATGTTTTCAGTTGTTGCTCGTTTTTAGCTTGACGAGCGATAAAAACTCTTTTCGCAAATGCCGGAAATGCAGCGACATTGTCGCTTCGCTGTCGATCGGAGGAGATTCGCTAATCAGGCGTCTTGCGAAATGCTCTTTTAAGTCTCTAAAGGGATAAAAGATTAAATCAATCAGTGCCAACCAATCCCTATTGAAGACCCCATTGAACTGACTCCATTCATAGCATCGCAGAGGTGATTGAATGCATATTTAGTCGATATTTGGTCCGATTTGAGCGGTTCACCGATGCTAGAATAGAAAGTGGATTTGGCCTTTCACATCATCCTGTGATCGGTTGGTTGATTTTCTTTCCTACTTCTGCTTTTGATTTCGACCTAACATCATTTCCGAATCAACAGGTAGGAAGCCTGGCCAAGGATCCATGGCCGAAATCCATTCCATGGAAACGACTTCTTGAAGACCTGAAGAAGCCTCTACAAAGTTACGTCGGAAAACCATGGAGTATCATATGCCGACCAGCTATATACCATTTCGAATATGTGCTGGGGTCCGCATAACTAGTGAAGACGGACCACTGAGTATCTAAGTATGAAAAGAAACTTGGAGTTCCATCCACACAGAGTGATTTAGTGTAAAATTTCTAACAATTCCCAAGACCGACTGTCTATTAACCTCGGCATGCTTCAATACAATTACTGATTTTCCAGGCTCTGAAGAAGGCGAATCGCCGAAACGTCAGCTGTGAATAAAGTTTATTGTAACACCTCGTGTTTTGCTCAAAGAAGAAAACCAGTAATTATAGAATTTCTGTCTCCAAAGCGAGAAAAGGAACGGATAACCTTAGATACGGGATTGAACCGAAGATCACGGATGGATATTACTTATCAACCCTAACCATGTGCTATTCGCTCCTCGGATTTAGTGTGGTGTTGGGCACATAATTGATGCAGCAGTGATTCTGCATGACAATCTAGAAACACGCAAATCTGTCCGTATCAAAAGTGCACTATTTTAGAGCTTTACCGTCTTTCAACTCACAAAATTTGTGCTTCTTTGCTCGTAGATGAATTATGTTTGGAACAATTCGAAAGTACCTGCCATTTTTTCACTGAGCAAATCTTGATGTGCAGTTGCAATAATCACTGTCATTCTCAGGTTAGTGACCTCGGAAATAAACGATATGAATGCGATAGGTTAAGCCAATTCTTGCAATCGTGTTCGAGTTATGAATTCTTGTAAATCTGTAGCATTCACTTCATTATCAATTGTTCCTAGCTAAAGTTGTTGGGCCCAGAGCACATCTCGTCCCTGTAGACTGATAAATCACATTTTATTGATCTCTTAAAGATCTTCAAGAATCATCTTAGAGTCTCCAACAACTAAGAAGAGCATTCAGCACATATGATCGAGAAAGTGTAACCACAAAGCATGTGAGACGCCTTAGACTACCGCTCTATTTCGTTATTCTGCTTCAGCTTTAATTCTCTACAACACTGTATGAAGAAAACCGTATTTTCTTGTGGATTAGCATGACAGAATTCGTAATTGGCAAGTTACGGGAAATGAACCCACGACGGTAAATTGCTGTGGAAGCGAATACTCAATGTGCTATTTCGTCGTTGGTGGTACTGCATTCGTAGCCAGATCAATACTAGCGTGCCATGAAATTTTTAGGGAATAAACCGTGTTTGTAATGAAATAATTTTTTTTTTAGAAATCAGTTTCTTGGTTACTCTAGTGATTTCTGTTCAAAGTTCTTCCTATTTGTTTACTTATAATTTCATTTATTGACTATTTATTTACTTACGCATTTTTTTATTCACTCAGAACATCCAACACCACATCGCGCATATACCGAAACTTTCTTGACTCAGTTCCTTCCCTTGCATCCATCATCCATGAGAGTTTTCAGAATTTGTCTATTGGTTCAACTTCTGCTTGCAAACTTCCACTCTCTTTTATAAATGCCAAATCGAGTCGATTCTTGGTGTAATCCTGGAATATCCGACAGTGACCTTCTCAAATACACGTTATTGACGATTGCCAGCATTTGTGTAATAGAGGAAGTAAGCTGGTCGTGGATAAGACTGATATCAACTTCTTTTCCTAGGTATTAATCTTAGACTTAGGCGAAGTCGATTCAGTACCATGTTTGTCGTGCTAAATGTCGCCATAAAAACTCCACAACCGCCCTGTGATTGAATTTTTATCATGATTAGTTATTATAATAAATGGGGTTATAGGTATAATCAGCTGGGTTTATAAAGCGAAATCGTATACCGGACCAGACCTGTTAAAGGTTGGTGGTTGATAGCTTACATAGAAATGTTGAAGAATGAGTGCTCGAGCAAAAGTGTCTTGATGATGTAGTGGTAATAGCACGCGTCCCCGGTATGGGTGAAACGCGGGTGATTCTCGCATGAGGGAGTATTTTTGCTCACCACTCAATTCTCTTAGGTAAACAAATGAGCAATTAAGAAAAGAATAAGAGAAGCCGCTGAACAAAGAGCGAGCAACAGGTGGCTCTGAAATGTATAAAAATAGAAGTCGCACACGAAAATAATTACGTGACGTAATATGAAGAGAAAATTATAACGATAAACGAGCGTCGTGCACTTTTGGGACGGATGAG